CATAAGAGTTAAAAGAATATAATTTAAGTTTAATTTTCTTATAATAAGCCATTTTAAAGCAACTTGCAACATACGAAGCTGAAGCAGTATTGTATCAGGCTTATTCAAAAAATGGACAAAACTTTCTTAATAAGTATAATTAGTAAAAGAAATTTAATTTTCTGTAAATTTTTTTCTTTTCTGATGATTATGAATTATTGTACAGTATCGACAACGTTGCTTTTTATAAAACGTCGCACATGCGCACAAAAGTAATGTTCAGGGCGGTAGCTACTACGCTACTAGGTTTCGTCGAACTAGAGCTGTGTTGCAGCTCGTCGCCATGTTTTAGAAAACTGCGCTGTCCCTGATGTGATCGGAAGTCAGCTAAATTAGTACCCAAAAATATTGTGATTAAAATAACGTGGGGTATCCAATTGTAGTTTGTAATTTAATTTACCCGCCTGTGTATTTTTTATTTACTGATGGACTATTTCAACTTGGAAATTTTGTGATTACAATATGGTAAGTCGTCGATCCCAACAGTCCAATTATAAAATGGCGCCTCTTACTTTTCTTTGTTTATTATTACACAAGGTTAGAAAATTAAACGGGTTTATAAATTACGCGAATCGAAGTGGAAATTTGTATAAGTAACTTTAGAAGTAATTTTAGAATTTTTTACGAATTTTACGAGGTTACAACAATTTTTTCCGCTCAAAGGAACTTCTTTAGTCTGCTGCCGTTATTTGGCCGCACAGGAGTCAATACAAAGCTGCGCGTCAGGCAATCTACTTTATCTACTATTTTGAGAGGTTATACTTATCTATGGTTATATCTACTTTAGCATCTGTATAAAAGAGCACGCCACATNCTTTGGAAAGTGCTCTAGCCGCTTGCGAAGACGATCAAGACGTTGCTTTTTCAAAAGTTTTAACAATTTTTTGATATATACATACATTTTGCGCGATTTTCTTTAAAAAATTTACATCTTTATTATACATTATCAATTTTTTTAATAGTTTATTGGCGTTGTATTATTCTAAAGATAATTATCAAATTTAAAACCGCTTTTAATTTTAAAACAAAATAATTCAACAAACGTCGTTATGGAAACATACTTTGAAAGTCAACCTGTAATTATGATCTGGCGTTTTATAAACAGGTTTTGCAATTTTATAAAAATATGCACATGATGTAATATCTAGATGTGATTTTTGAAAATACGGTATTTGTAGAAGTTTGGGGAATGAGTGATGAAGTTCCGGGGACAGGGCATAGCGCCCTGTCCCCTCGGGAGAACCCAGCTCCTCGACACCTGGACCATTCGACAGTCAGGCTTGCTCAGGTTGTTGGAGGCCAGTATGTTTTAACATCTCAACCTCATATAGTTTCTGCTCTTGCACAGGTACCTACATTTTTTTTCTTTAAAAACTAATAAACTTTATTTTTTTTGTATACATGCATTAAGTCGTGTTCCTTGACTTTTTAACTCTTTAAAAGTATATTGAATTAAATGGGTGAAACTTCCGAATCACGGTTTTTTCGACTTTTATTTCTTGGAAATGGCTTAAAATTGATCAACCTATATGAGAAAGTATGGTAGAAGTTGTTTTAAACAATTTTTATTTGAAAATAAATAGATGAGATGAGATAGGTATAACCCCGATAGGAACTTCTGTTATTCAGTTCACTACAAAATTATCTTCATCAATACTGCTCCATACTAAAAAAAAAGTTTTACCTGCTTAATATCCCTTGTATTTTCTAACATTTCCTTCAGCCTCCTTCCAGTGAAATCCATTTTTGAATCAAGATAATAAACCTTTTTGAAAGAAGTAGCTGTATGCTTGGCAATGGTCAAGCATAACTGCGTTTTTCCAGAGGCAGGAAGACCACATATTTCATAAAGTTGACCCGTCAAAAAGCCACCATCTAATAAGATATCTAAACTGTGAAATTAATATATTATTAATTTTATTAGTTTATGACCATTAACCACATTTCACCTTTTAATACCTGATGAAATTATAGCTGATTTAGTTAATATTTCTTTATAGTACTTTAAGCCATTTCTTGTAACAGCGGCGTATTTGTTAGCAATTTGTTTCTTGAGGCAAATAACATCCTAATAACTCACGATGTTTATTTATTTTTTTTTTTTTATTAGTTATTACCTTATACGAGAGACCCGATGAGGCGGTTATTTTCTTTATATCCACTTTTAAAAAGTCATTTATTGTAACTATATTGACGCTAAACAATGATTCTGAAACTTCTTTAGAAAACAATTCATGAATATCTTCACATAATCGCAACATTTTTTTCTAGGTAATTTGATTTCATGACTTTCATAACCGGCATTTAATGAATTTACAAGTGAAAATAGGCGGGGTTTATTTAAAGAAAACAATGTTGCCAATTAGTTGATTAATTTTATTACGTGTAAAGTAATAAACATTAAGTTTGGAATTAAGAATTNTCTTCTACGACCACGACCTCGTCGCCGAGTGGAGTCACACGAATTATTAGTATAAGTCCCTCCAGTAGGGTCAATGCCGCCTCCATCAGACCGAGCTTAGCAAATCAAACTATCGTAAACGCTCTAACGAAGAATAGGCCAAACATCAGGTTACAATTGTTTCCCAACGAAGAACAAACTAACCATTCGCTTTCGTCGAGTAATAATACCACCCCCATAGGTAGAACCGCCGCCAAACGTAGTTTACCTATGACACCTGAAAAAAAGGATACATACTCGTCAAAACTTCAACGAGTTATGAACCATCGGAATGTCCGTTCGAAAATCGTTCGAGAAAAATACAATGAGCACCTACTCGAAAAATATTACCTAGAGAGCGAAGGCAACATCTTGGACTTGTATCAGTTCGCGAAGAGGCCCAAATCACAACATTGCCTAATTTATATGAAAGACCACAGCATAGACGCCATCGATTCCGAAACGGATAATTTGAAGGCGATCGTATGTAGTGACGATAGACTAAGTGCACCTGTAAATAGTCCGATATCCTCCCACCCGCCTGCGACGACAGAAGTCACGCAACACGTTGCTGATATGTCAACAACATCTCAACAACAACAACAACCGCCTCTTATGGAAGCACCTTTAACGTCCACGCCAGATGTAACGAACGCTACAAAATCGAAAAGTCTTATTAGTTACCCAACAGTCAGTAGTCAAGAGCAGATAGTTGAAAAAGCGAAACAAGAAGCGTATGTAGTCCAAAGGATAAATGATTTACAACGGGAAGGACTGTGGTCGGAAAAAAAACTTCCGAAAATACAAGAAATGGCTAGGCCTAAAGCTCATTGGGATTTCCTCTTAGAGGAGATGGTTTGGTTAGCAGCTGATTTTGCACAAGAGCGAAAATGGAAAAAAGCTGCCGCTAAAAAATGCGCTCGCATGGTTCAGAAACATTTCCAAGACAAGGCGATGGCCGCACAAAAAGCCGAAAAGGCACATGAACAGCATCTGCGTCGTGTAGCCGCTTATTGTGCGAAAGAAGTTAAAATTTTCTGGAGCAATATTGAAAAAGTAGTCGAATATAAACAGAATACTCGCCTAGAGGAGAAAAGAAAAAAAGCTTTAGATCAGCATTTAAGCTTTATAGTCGATCAAACAGAAAAATACTCGCAGCTTCTTGCTGAGGGAATGAATAAGTCAACGACGACACCAGTGGGAGGTGATATGAGCGTCGCATCGTCAAATGCACCTTCGAGAACACAATCTGACGACGAGTTTCGGCCAGACGATCAGGGTAGTACGGACGACGAAGAGACGATAGCACAGGAGGAGGCGGCCACAACTGCAGATCAGGAACAAAGCCAAAGCGAAGAAGTCGCTGCATTGCAACGGGAATCCGAAATGGACTTGGAGACTTTCCTTAAAGAACTGCCCAAAGACTATTTAGAAAATAGAGACAATTTTCCTACGACCAGTGATAGCGACGATGAAAGTAATTCAAGCGACGAAGAAGATGTCGACAAAGATAAAAAAAAGAAAGACGATGATTTTAGTCCGGGAACCAGCTCAGAAGAGGACGACGAAGACACAATACGGGAACAAGAAGAAGTAGAAGGGAAACAGGATCACAAGGAAGAATTGGAAGCACTTAAAGGTAATGATTTGCAATACAGTATTTGTATGCATTTATTTATTTCTTCTTGTCACAGCTGAAAGTGAAATGAGTGTGGAGGAGTTGAAAAGAAAATATGCCAACTTGCCACTACTTCCTGAAGACGAAGACGTTTCTATTAAATCTGAAAACGAAGAGCTTGACCAAGAGGCTGGCTCAGATGCTGAGTCTGTTATGTCAACTGACGGTGAGACTTCTTCTGGAGATTACAGTCACGAGGAAACAGAAGAGGTTGGTCTTAAGTCTTTACTAAATGATTCTGTAAAAGACGAAAATTCTAAGACTAGAGAAGAAGACGATCTTATAAACGATGCCGCCGCTATAGCTGAAAGTATACAGCCCAAAGGGAATACACTGTCTTCAACAAACGTAAGATACTTTAAATAATATTACTTTTTCTTTTTAATTTCATTAATTCTACTTGCATGATGACACTTATTTTTCACTGAAGGTTTGAGATCCATTCAGCTCATTCCTGTTAATGATCGGTATGAGGCATTTGTCTGATACAGAACTGAAGAATCTTAATTTTTCTGTTGTTACATTATATGCGCCAATTATGTTTCTTTTTTGCAGGTGGTCACACCAGTTCCGTTTTTATTAAAATATCCTTTAAGAGAATATCAGCACATTGGTTTAGACTGGTTAGTAACCATGTATGAAAGAAAACTTAACGGTATTCTTGCCGACGAGATGGGCCTTGGAAAAACAATACAAACTATTGCACTACTTGCCCATTTGGCTTGTGAAAAAGGTAAACATTCTAAATACAGTTGAACATAATGATTATTATTTATGAAGACTTACACGTAGGTAATTGGGGCCCTCATTTAATTGTTGTACCAACGTCTGTGATGTTAAATTGGGAGATGGAATGCAAGAAATGGTGTCCAGCATTCAAAATACTAACTTATTATGGAACGCAAAAGGAAAGGAAACAAAAACGTATGGGGTGGACAAAACCCAATGCTTTTCACGTGTGTATAACATCCTATAAACTCGTTATACAGGACCATCAGAGTTTCAGAAGAAAAAAATGGAAGTACCTTATTCTTGATGAAGCACAGAACATAAAAAACTTCAAATCGCAACGGTGGCAGCTTCTGTTAAACTTCCAGACACAACAGTAAGTGTTTGTGTGCACTACAAAGTTTTCTTTATTTTGATGATTAATCCAAAGAACCCGTTTCACTGGCAGGCCTTTCTTTCAGACGTTTACTTTTGACAGGAACGCCCCTTCAAAACAATTTAATGGAACTGTGGTCGCTTATGCATTTTTTAATGCCGCACGTATTCCAATCACATCGTGAATTTAAAGAGTGGTTTTCGAACCCGGTCGCTGGCATGATCGAGGGCAATTCTGAATACAACGAGAGTATTATAAAAAGACTTCACAAGGTAAGAAAGCGTTCAATAACCGTATTTTCTTGCTATACAAATTTGTACATAAATACATTTTCCTACATTTTTTTTTGTGATGATTTAATCAATTGCTGAAGGATTGAAAACCATTCATTTCATTCCTGTCTATGAACGACTTTGAGGCATTTGTCTGATTTATTTATTTCGAACTTTTTTTTAATTTCATTAATAAGAAGTACAGTGAGAAGCTATAATAATTATTATCATTTTTTCTCTTGTAGGTTTTGAGACCTTTTCTCCTTAGAAGACTGAAATCGGAGGTGGAAAAACAAATGCCAAAAAAATATGAACACGTTATAATGTGCAGATTATCAAAGAGACAAAGGTTTCTGTATGATGACTATATGTCAAGGGCGAAGTAATTACTCTCAATTTTCCAGTTTAAAAATGTTAATTTTTTCTTGAATATTTGTTTTGTAGAACAAGAGAAACCTTAGCAACTGGTAACCTTTTGAGTGTCATAAATGTTCTGATGCAGTTAAGAAAAGTATGCAATCATCCCAATTTGTTTGAAGTAAGACCAACAACATCACCCTTTCAGTGTGAGGGAATCTCGTTGCACGTTCCCTCTCTTGTTTATTCAGCTTTGGAGTACAACGTTTGGAAGGCAAATTTTTCTTTTCTTTTTATTATGAGTTCATAAGTAAATTAATTAAATTCTGTTTTTCAGAATGTGGATCTTTACTCGGTTAATTTAAATCTCATTCTCATGGAACTTTATCTCAGTGCGTATCAGTGTTACAGGGCGCGACAAACACGTACACCGCGGCGCTTGATTGAAGAGATAATCGAGGGCGCAGGTGACTGTCCACCGCCCCCTTGCCCTCCGTCTAAACTCTCCCTTACAGTACACAAATGCGTCTCCGCATCTGACAGCAGTAACAGCCAGGACGTGAAAAAAAAAGTACCTGCTGCTTCAGTTACTATAAAACAAGAACCATCAACTCCAATAGAAGAAACTCCTAAAAACCCTGTAATGACGACCGGCAGTCCGATAAAAATTGTCCAACAACATTTGGGGGTTCAAATGTCTCCTAATTTGAAACTGATTAAAACACAGCACCAAGGTGTTGCATTGCAATTGATTCAACACCAAGGTAACGTCAAGGGTGAGTTGATTATATTTTGAACTGTTATTATCTTTGATACCTGCAGATTGTTTTTCATCATAAATTTTAACAACTTCGTAGCATCTTTCATGCTGAACATTTTTTTTTTTTTGTTCCTAAAGACTCCAATAACTGGCCAGTTTTAAAATAAGATAGTGCATTTTTTCATAATTATTAATTCATGATAATGTATAATAATTCACTAGTTACATCTGCTAATTAAATTCTACCAATACATTGTTTGAATGCATCTACATGCTCAACTGGTAAATTACTTTTATTTAAAACATAAAATAACATTGCTTACTTGTCCAATTTCCTTCCTCTGTATTTATGAACCTCACCCGTAACGCGGCGCCTCATTTTTCAGCTATACCGGTTATGACGCAAACCGGCAGTCAACAGACGGCGACGGGCGTCGCAGGCGCCGTTAGCCTGTCGTCGGTGTTGAAGGCGTCAGACAAAATAACATTACCGCAGACGTTCGCCCAACTGGTGCAAACGTCGACCGGAAAACATATCCTGCTCACGCCCACCAATGCTAACGTTTCGGCCGCTAACATTACCATTTCCGGATCTGCAGGTACCGAAAAATAAAAAGAAACGGAAATATATTTCACATCATCATTATATTAGCACTTAACAAACAAAATACGTTTTTGTTTTGTTAAATAATGTAATAAGCATACATTTTTATTTAGTTACTACATCCGGAGGTCAAAGGTTGACTGTTCTTTCGAAGCAACCCGTGTCGACTGCTCAAGTAGTCAGTGGAACTAAAGGGGTCGTTAAATTACAGTTGGGATCTGTAACGAATGCTATAGGCTACAGTGCGAACGTAAAAAGGACGGTGTTGTAAAATATAAAAGAAAATACAAATATTTTTTACTTTTAGGTTTCGCCTTCGGCGCCATCTGAAAATTACAAGTCCACCGAAGACGTGAAAGAAACGAAAAAGGTCGGTTCGAAATTCATTGAAAGATTGTACGGTAGTCAAATTAATAGCTTGGACGTCCGGTGGCGAAAACAAAAGTATTCAATACCAAAAAGGCAACCTTTTGTTAGTATCAAAAGTAGTTTTTCATTATTGTGATTTGTCGTAATTATAACGATTGTTTGCTGCAGGTGGAACGGGACGTAGAAATCACTGACTATCGAAAGAATAAAATTGAAATGATAGCAAGGATAAACGATAGGAGATGTAATGCAGTTCCATTATATGGCAAGGATTTTCATGATAGCGTAAAAATCTATAAATTTGAAAAAAAAGTACCTTGGACTGGAGGTAGATTGCACTGCCTTAATGCTCTGTACGGATGTGATCGATTTACAGAAACTGGCGACTGCTTAAGAAAAATGTTACATACTCCTGAACAGAGAATTGAACAGTTAAAAGAAATATTTGACAGGTAAATGCTGGTTTACGTATTTTGTACTGTTAATGTTATTATCTTTCTGTATCCAAGGTGAAAGATGTATTATTATTTTTCACAATTAACAGAAAGAAGAATAAACTTTGTGACTTTACCAACCAAGACACGTTTTACGTATAACTGTTTTGGGTGGAAAGTTTCAAACATTTGTATTTTTTTGTAACTAAATGTATTATTACTAATCACCTTACCACATATTCAATTAGTAATTAATTTTAAGTATTCGGTTCATTTTTGTCTTCCAGATTTGTGTTTTATGTACCTTCCGTGCACGCACCAGAACCTGAACTACGCGTGTTTCACCCGCCTCCTTCGACGTATTGGGGCCGAAAACGCGACATGCAGGTCCTCACTAGATACTTCTCGAAACCAGCTACGCCCCTTCATCCACTCGCTTCAGCGATGGTAACTCAATTTCCAGACCCTCGTCTTATACAATACGATTGCGGTAAGTGTTTTTTTGTATCGTATTTTTATTTTAATAAAATATTGAATATTATAACAGGTAAACTGCAAACCTTGGACGTACTCTTGCGTCGTCTTAAATGGGAAGGGCATCGCGTTCTGATATTCACACAAATGACGAAAATGTTGGATGTGCTAGAGGCATTCCTCAACTTCCACGGTCACATTTATTTAAGACTGGACGGTTCAACGAAAATTGATCAACGACAAGTGTTAATGGAAAGGTTCAATGGAGACCCTAGAATATTTGCGTTCATTCTGTCTACTCGTTCTGGTGGAATTGGAGTCAATTTAACTGGAGCTGACACTGTTATTTTCTACGATTCAGATTGGAACCCGACCATGGACGCACAGGCTCAAGATCGATGTCATCGTATCGGCCAAACTAGAGATGTACACATTTATCGTTTAGTTAGCGAACGTACGATCGAGGAAAACATATTAAAAAAGGCGAACCAGAAAAGACTTCTTGGCGACTTGGCAATCGAAGGGGGCAATTTTACAACAGCATATTTCAAAAGCGTACGTTGAATTAAAAAAAAACTTCAAAACCAATATTTTTTGTCTTATTTTTTTTTTTTTTTTTTTTTT